CTGCTCGGGCTGCTGAGCCCAGCCTTCCTGTCTGCCCTCTGTGCCAGCATTTACTGATGGTCCTTTACTGGGCTGCTTCACGTTGGTGGCGTCTTCCTGCTCCTCAGTCCCTCATTCCTTTGAATCCCACCACTTGCTCTACTAGTGTAGCAGGAAAACAAGTTCTTGCTGAACAATATGGGGTTTCTGCTCCTCGTAAGGGTGAATTCTCCCGGCAGCCAGCTCCAACTCCTGGTGGTGCCTACCTGGTGGTGCCTTCCCTTCCTGGGAAGGGCCTGGAGAGGAGTGTGCCAGCTGGGGAGTGCAGCACCCACAACTGCCCCTGTGCCCGTGCACGCTGGGCAGCCCTGGAGAGCATCACCTAGACAGACTTCACTCTCTCCTTATGCATCGAAGGAAGGTGCTTCATGAGGATTAGCAGGCTTCAGGCTGGAAGGGTGAGAGTAGCTGCTGGCATGAGGTGTTAGGCAGGGGCTGGTGCGATGGTGCCTCTTGTCTGGGCCTGTTCAACGTGGTGGAGAGTCCCTCTGGTGCTGCTGTGCTGCTCCCCGTAGTGCTCCCCATGGCTTTGCTTCCTGAAGTGTTCTCATAAGGGCTGTGCTCGTTCCCTCTGCATTGCCAGGGCAGGACTGTGTGGGGACACGGGCTGCCCATGGAGCTGCCACGTCCCATGGGGTGCTGGTGCCTCTGGATGCCCACAGGGCAAGGGGGGAGAGTTTTGCCCTGCCCTGGCTGCTGTGACAGACCTCCTGTCATCACAGCTCCCTTTTCCCTGTTTGGTGCCTGTGCTAAGGCCAAGTCCGCAGTGATCTCTTGTGCCCCTGAAGGGAGGGGTCCCTTCCTGAGCCCCGGGGCCTGAGCCAGCTGCTGGCTGGCTACTGGTGTCCCCGGAAAAGAACATCTCCAGAGAGGGGAAAGAGCTGTCTGTGTGTGAGCACAGAGGGCAGCTCAGGTAAGCAGTGTCTGCTGTAGAACTTTCTCAAGCACAAAACTGTGGTTGTGGGCTTGAAAAGGAGAAATAACGTGCTTGAGCATAACTCACTGTTCAACAGAAGATAAAGAATAGCCTTTCTCTCCTGCACATGTGTGTCATTGGGTCAGGTCTCTACTGAGCTGTCTTTATCTGTTCATGTGCAGAATCCTTCCACAGCTGCTTCCTAGCAGGGCCACACTGGAAAGAAGCAGACTGGCATTTTTCCTCTAGTTGTCTTTGTGATCTGGAACAATAATAGCAGCAAAGAAAAGGCCAGTAGTTCAGCTCTGTTTTGATCTATTTATCGCATCTATTTAGAGCAGTAGATGAATTATTATTGAACTTTCAGTGGCCTGGTAAAAATGATAATGTGTCTTTGCTGTAGATCTGCTTCATGGACAGGCAGGGACTGATGTGGTTGTAGGGTGCTTGCATTAGGGGTACATAAGTGGGACAGGAAATTTTGATTTTCCCCCTTAGCTCTTGGGATGGAGCAACTTCTTTCAGGGTGTCTGTGTACCACTGCCTGCACATCTGGTGGAATGGAGGATCACCCACCTCCTGCCAGGCTCACAAGGGCTGAGCTGAGGAAAGGGCTGGAGGTGCTGGGCATCGTGGAAGGTGTTGGGAGGCAGAGTCCCTGCCCACTCCTGGTGCCTCATAGCTGGACCAGCTGCCTCAGAATTGTTCTGGAGTCATTCTTAACACCTTGCAGTGCTGGATGGAGGTGGTCAGATGTGCCAACTCTGCTTACAGGAGACCAGATTAGGGGCAGAGGATTAACAGCTCCTGGGGGTTGGTAAATGTGGTGGTTTTCATGTGTTTTTAAAGCATTTGCTTCCTAACTCTCTATCTGAATCTAGTTACAGGTACTGCAGGACCAGAAAAATTAGGTGTTGTCTTCAGTGACGAGCAAAAGAGGGGTGAAGGTTTAGGGGTATGGCAAGGGCAAGAAACCTTCTGGGCTGGAAGGGCAGCCTTGGAAAGTCAGTATGGAGAGGTGCTGGGTGGCCAGTGCTCAGTGATGAGGTTCTTGCTCGTTTGTCTACTTTGCCTGTCAGATGTTCAGGAGCTGCTCAGGAATGGCCAGTGTGGCTGCTGAGAGGCTGCAGTCCCCCATCCATAGCACAGGGCTGTGGGGACCCCTGGGGCTGTGCAGCCCTGTCTGCTGCTGGGGGCTGTGGGCCCCTGATGCTGCCCTCAGCCCAGCAGGGAGCTGGCCAGGGAACAGGGAGATGTGTGGGGCTGTGTTTGCACCCCTGATGCTGTTCTGCCTGCTGCCCTCAGCCCAGCAGCGAGCTGGCCAGGGAACAGGGAGATGTGTGGGGCTGTGTTTGCTGCTGGGGGCCTGCACTGCAGGAGTTCCTGCTATTTGTCTTGGTTGTTAAATTGTCTGTTTGAGTCGGCACCTCTGTCTCTCAGATTTAATCATGTCCCTCAGCACTGACTGTTCTGTGTGTCCACTGTCCCCCCACACGCTGTGTGTCTGGGGGTGCTGCCACAGCCCCTGGCAGGGGCAGGGAGGAGGGCACACGGCAGTCCCTGGAGCAGCAGCCCCCTGGAGCAGCAGCTGCAGGGCTTTCGGCAGTGAGGGACCCACTGGTAGCAGTGCTGGCAGGAGGTGTGAGTGGCACTGGGAACGTGCTGCTGGTGCTGGAGTGTTTGTTCAGCAGAGCCTCTTGTGAGGAAGTTGCATCTGATATTCTGTAGTGCTTCCTGAATCACTTCCAGCATCTTGTGATGTGTCTCCACAGGCAGCTCTTTATCCTTAGTCCACTCAGGCTGCAGGAGTGTTGAGAAAACCAGAGCAATTATCATGGAGATGCTGCTGGGCTGAGCAGTGACACAGATACAGAGCAGGGCGCGTGACTGCTGTGCATCCCGGGGTTCATGTGCTTGGGCTTGGTACAGGCTGGCTGCTCTCTGGGGACACTGCATCGCCAGGGACACACAGCAGAAGCCAGGGAGGCTCTGGACTGGAGTGATGTGCCTCTGGGGAAGAGGCAGTAACAAATACTAGCCTGGATTCCCAAAGTCCTTATGTTTCTGTACAGAGCCCCTCCGTGTGTCCTTCTCACTTGAACCACTGGATTTGCTTCCTGCCAGCAAAGCAGGAGCCTTTTATCATCAGCTGTGTCTGGACAGGCCCTCGAAGGGCAGGGACAGTGTGTGTTGGCTGAGCTGGCTGGGACAAAGGACACCAGAGGAGGCTGCTGGCTCTGGCTGGTGGGAGAGCTCCCATCACAGCGTGCATGTCTTGGCACAGAGGGGCCACACTGCTGGGGACACGGCTGGTGTCCCTGCACTCCTTGCTCTCGGGCTCAGCTGACTGAGAATGAGCCTGGCTTTGCTGTGACCTGCAGTGCTGCTGAGCCCCCCTCCCTGGGTGGGAGCAGGGACATGATCCCTTGGTGCTGGGCTGGGAAGGATGGGTACAGCTCTTACAGCTCACTGGGAGCACGTGGTGCTTCTGGAGAGATGTGGTGAGGTAACCACTAGACTGGACTACAGTCCCAGCCTCACGTGGTAGTGACTGATTTTCAATTTGAAACTTGACACAGTCATTTAAGGGCTAAATTTAATTTTCAGTGTAGGTTTTTTTGAACAAAGGTAATGTTTGCAAAGCAGGTTTCCACATGTGTGCCTTACATTCTTCCCTGCATCATTGTCTGGGTGCATTCAGCTCACCTTTCTGCTGAAGGAGGGCAAGGGGTATCAGGCTGGTACCTGAGGAGACTTTTTTAGATCCATTTTATGGATTATATTTTATCCTTTTTTTTCTGCCACTGGATTTTGCGTTGCTTAACAGGAGCTAGGAGCAGAGAAAGCTGTTTGGTCTCCATTAATCTTCAAGTGCCCACAGACTGCTTTAAATTTCTCTCCCCCATGGAAAGATTTGCAGCAGCATCCCAAGCTGGGGGTTACGCTGGACACCAAGCAGAGGTGCTGGGGTCACACCAGTGTGGCACTGAGTGTTGGCTAGGGACCCCTCCCATGGTTCAAGCTTGTGCACATATTTTATATGGGAGAGTGCTGGTCCCTGCACAGCAAGGGCAGTAAATCTACTGTCAGAAGGCCTGCACATATGTAATGAGAGCAGATTATTTCTGTTTCCCATTATTTTGCAGCCTTGAGACAGTGGACAGATTATAGAGCATAGAGAGTATATGTTTATCAGTCCTTTCCTGCCTCTTTCATCACCACCCCCTCCCCAGTGACCCCATTTTCAGAGGGATAAAGCGAGCAGCCCAACCTCATTTCTCAAATCTGTTGCAAACTCTGATTAGAGGAGTGGAGGAGCTCTGGCACGAGGCACACGTGCAGCCTGCTGGGCCCAGGCTCTGCAGCATTCCCACCCATTCCTGCCCTGCAGGCACTGTCTGGGCTCTGCTCGTGCCACTGTCCCTCCTGGGGACCCTGCTCTGTAAGTCAGAGTCCTGTTGAGCAGTTCTTCTCTCTGCAGGTGTGCCAAGGATGTAGGTGCAGCACGGCATGGGACGGGTGCTGCTCCAGCACTGCTTGCTCTGGGATGCCATGGTTCCTTGTGTCCAGGGAAAGCTGCACCTCCCTGGCTGGGATGGCAGTAGAAGACAGTGTTTAGGATGAGCGAGTTATGCATAGTGGGTTCTTGATACCCAGTGGAAAAAATTCCACAGTGGCCTGTTCTGCTCCTGTGCTTGACAGGGTGCTGGTGGGAAGTAATTTTGCTCTACATGCATGGTGATGATCAGCCTGTGGAAGCATCTGTGATTTAGATGCCCTGATCCTGGCTGAGTCCTGGAACTGTAGACCTAGATGAGCATTGAACACCTGCATCAAGGTTTTGGGAAATGTGTGACCTCACCAGAACCGCAGTGAGCAGGACAGAGTGTGTGGGCATTGGGAGACTAAACTGTTGTTTTGCTTCAGCTTGAACAAGCAGAAGATTTCACGAGGGCAGCAGTGTGAGGTGCTGTGAGGCAGGGTAGGTGTGATGGGGTGGCCTGGGCTGTGCTCTAGCTGTGGCTGCTCTGTCTGTGCTCTGCAGAACATCGTGTCCAAGAACGCGATGCAGTACCGCGGCAACGCCCAGCACGATGCCCAGGAGTTCCTGCTCTGGCTGCTCGACAGAGTCCACGAGGATTTGAACAACGTGGTGAATTCCGGTGGCATGCCTCCACTCAAGGTAAGGCATTCTGCTGGGGGACGCTGGGGGAGTCCAACTTTGCACACAGGCTTTCCTTCTAAAGGAAAGTAGCTCTCTCCATTGGCTTCTGAACTTCAGTAGTTCAGATGGAACAAAAACTTGGGTTACAATAATGTTTGTTTCTACCCTGGGAATGTAACCAGCTGTTCCACAAATCCCTGGTGAGTGCTCCCTGAGGAATCCCTGAGTCGTGCTTGAGTGGCTCTGCAATAGCCAGGAGGTGTTACCTGGGGCTGCCAGACTTGTCAGGTGTGAGCCCCGTGCCCTTCCCAGGGCTGCCCTGCCCACCTCACCTTCCTGCATGCCCACTCCTTGGAGCAGAGTGTGCTTGGTAGTTAAAAATGCTTGTGGCATTTTCCCAGTGATTTTTGGCTAAGGAAGGCAAAATTTGGGGTTCTGGAGCCACCTGCTTGGTGCTCCCCCCACACCTGGGTGTGCCTCAAGGGTTTGTTCTCTCTTTTAGCCGCCGCTGGAGGATGATGTGCTGCTGGAGGGCCCAGCCTTTCCCATCAGTAGCACTTTTGTGCAGGAACTCTTTCAAGCCCAGTACAGGTATGGTATTTTGTAAATGTGTTGAATGTGTGGGTGGCCCCAGTACAATTCTGAACTGACACTGGCTCCTATTACAGTTGGGACTGGTGTCTCTGTGTTTCTGAATTCCTGCTGAACTAACACCTTGCTCTAGAGGAAATAGAGAATTTCAGTGCTTCAAAATTGGTATATTCTGTGTAAATCTGCAGTATGTACCACTACACCTGTTCCTGTGCATCCTGAGAGTGAGTCAGTGCTTCATGAGCAAAGGCTCAGGAAAGCCTCGTGCTGTGGGGCTCACCCTGACTGTCAGAGGGAAGAGCCCCTGGCAGGATCCAGAGGTGCCTGGGAGTTAGGGATCCCCAGTGTGTGCAGAGTGCTTGTCCTCTGGCACTTGGGAATTCTGAGCTGAAGTTATCACTGTCCCTTCAGGGCTTTCCCTTGAGTATCCCTTCTTTCTGGGAAGAGAGCTTTCTAATTTCAGAGCTCTTGGAAGAGAACAGCTGAATCACCAGCGTTCCTTGATGGCTTGTGCCTGTACTGCTGTAAGAATTAAATTGCTGGGCTTCCTCCCCGGTATTTGCCAACTTTTCCTTTGCAAAGGCGAAACCTTAAGCCTGGTCTAAGACACAAAGCCATTGTAAGGTGCAGATTGATTCTGAATGAGAGTGGAATTCTGGAGAATGAGAATGGACTCTTGTCTGGAGCTTTTCCTGTGTGAGGGCTGTGTGCACCCCAGTGCTGTCTCTTCCCTGTAACTTCACCCCTCTCCAAAGACAAAACCCTTCAGGGTTTCCCGTTGGATCTGCTGTTGGTGAAGTGTGGGATTTGATGGTTTATCCGTCCCAGTGCAGTGAGTGTAACTGTGCCCTTTATCCATGTCTGTCCAGGTCCTCCCTGACGTGCCCTCATTGCCAGAAGCAGAGCAACACCTTTGACCCTTTCCTGTGCATCTCGCTGCCGATCCCTCTGCCGCACACTCGGTACGGAGCTGTCCTGAGCCCTCGGCCCTTTCCTGTGCATGCTGTGTTCTGAATTTGCTACAGCAGGAAGACAGTACCACCAACACTTCTGATAAGTCATTAAAAAAGATAGATAGGACCGTATGGGGACGTAATGTTTTGCTTTGCAGGTAAAATGGAAAATTGAGACTTACACTTGAAAGGCCTATCCTTCCTATAGAATTAATTTGGGAGAAAAAGTCTTTTCTTCACATAACCAAAATATGTTGCTTTTCACTTGATTTATAGCACTTTAAAATTAAAAAAGGGAAAAGTTTGAAGCACATTTTTTGAGAACAGCCTCACTGATCACTCCAATTTCAAAAACTGAAGTTAAAATCTTTCCTGCAAAATGTTTTGCTCTTTTGAAAGACAGCTGATGCAAATAAAGAGAAAATTTCAGGGGAGGAAAAAAATCCAGATCAAACATTCAAAGGGAAGATAGAGGTGCACAGCAAAACTACCTGTGGTATAAACAAACTCCTTCACCTGGTGTTTGCATCCAGAAAACTTGTGTAGGTTCCAGAAGCAACGGAACAGGGTGGTGATAGGGCAGATTAAACATCGCTGTCACATTTGCTCTGGAAATCCCTGCTTCACCACTGGGTGGAGGCTGAGTGGGCTGTCCAGGGAAGGTGTCCCCTCCCTCTTCTCTCCCCAGCAGTGCTGCTGCTGTTGGAGGCAGGATTGGGGGCTGAGAGGCAGCCTGTTCCCAGCAGCAGCTCTCCAAGTACTTCAAGGTGCTGTCTTGTATGACTGTCCAAGCTTCCTTTCTGGATCCCTGCTGGAAAACTGATTGCCTTCTCATGGACAGTTCTGGTTTTAACTTTGTGGGCCTTTTTGAGATGTTCTGCTTGTGGCAGCAAGTAACACCAGGTCAATATAGTAGGAAAGGAGTCTGTGAATCAAACACCCTTGTCGGGCTGCAGCTGAGTGGCTGCAGTGTGAGGGGGATCCGGACAGTCAGGAGGGCCCTGTACCTGGTGGGCAGCCTGGGTGTGCCCAGCTGGGCTGAGGCTGCTGGGGCAGTGCCCAGAGGTGCTCAGCCAGCCTAGCAGGGCTCATGCTCTCCACAGGCCCCTCTATGTCACCGTGGTGTACCAGGGCAAGTGCTCGCACTGCATGCGCATCGGCGTGGCCGTGCCCATCTCCGGAACAGTGGCCAGGCTGAGGGAGGCTGTCTCCTCGGAAACCAAGATACCCACGGAGCAGGTAAGGGGCTGGCCTGCTCACCTGCGTGCGCTCCCTGCAGCGGGAGGGACAGGGGAGGCTTTTGTCCCTTGGTGGATGTATAGCAATTGAAATTGGCCGCCCATGGTTGAACAGGGAGCCAAGGCAGTGGTGAAATCTGGATCATGCTTTTCCCTGTGCATTGGCTCTTTTAATCCAAGTGATGTTGGAATACCCTCAGTGCAGTGTCCGCAGACTGCCTGACCCATGGTGTGCATGCTGGCAGGGAGGCAACCACTGGGCACCTACACTGAATTCCTCTGTAGGAAGAGCTTCAGGAAAGCTGTTGAATTCCACCAGAACCTCTCCATATGTTGTTTTTACCTCAGCTTCTTGTTTATGGCTGTCCTTTTCCCTGTTCCTTGCTCCTGGCTGATGACAGGGTGTCTTGAATGCCATCCCTTAGCAGGAAAATCCCAGCTGAGGGATGGGGCACTGAGCTGAATCTGTGCGTGGTTTGATGTGTTCTGTTTGCCTCTGGTGCCTGCAGATCGTGCTGACAGAGATGTACTACGACGGGTTCCACCGCTCCTTCTGCGACACCGACGACTTGGACACCATCCACGAGAGCGACTGCATTTTTGCCTTTGAGACCCCGGAGATCTTCAGGCCTGAGGGCATCCTCAGTCAGAGAGGTGAGTCAGTAACTCTTAGTGCCCACCTCGGGTGACTAGTGAGGGAGGTTTGTGTGGGAAAAGAGTGAGTCCCACAAGCTGTTGATGTTCTGGTGTATTGATTTCAGCTCTGACTTTGTCCAGGCTCATTCCGGAAGATTTAATAGTGTTGTCAGCTGGGAGGTTATCAAGCAGTGTTGTGCACTCCTTTCTGCCTCTTCTCAGGGCTGATGCTGCAGGCCAGGCTGGCTTAATGTGAAATCTCTTGTCAGGCTTAATTTAAAGGCCTGCTAGGGACCAGATGAAGCCACTGAAATTGTGTTATTTAAAATCAGATTGCTAGTGATGAATAAACAGTCTCAGGAATGAACAAACACTTTCTCTTTCCAAGCTCAAACTCCTCGGCCTCTGCATGTCCCCTCAGTGAAAGGTAATCATGGTATCCTGGGCAGATGGAGTGTAATCAAAGGCAAATTTTAGTATTGAAAATAGCAAGTTGGGTTCTTGGCACTTTAGTTTTTCTTGTGGGCAGTAAAAGCTGAGAGTGCTTGTACAACCTGCTGTGAAAAATCAGATGGGCAGCACTTGCATATAGTGTCCTTCTCTAAAGAAACAGTCACTGTGAAAGGAAGTTGCTCTTTGAAGCTTTGCCCGAGTGATGAAAATGCTCCTGATTCCATACTGACCTGCTCCTCTCTAGCCCAAGAAGGGCCTCTTGAGGGGGGCATCAGGGCACTGAAGGCAAATGACATAATGAAATGTTTCCTTTCTCCTAATTTTTCAGGAATACATGTGAACAATAACCTGAATAACTTGAAATGTGGCACTGAGCACTCCCGAACAATAGCTTACTCTCAAGGAACGGTGAAGTCTGGAAAACTGGAACAGTCCTGTCCCAAACTAGCAGCAAATGACAAGATTGTCTTGCTGGTGTGTAACAGAGCGTGCACTGGACAGCAGAGCAAAAGGTGACTGGCAGCAGCATGGCTGGAGTTACTCTTCTGGCTGCTTCCCAAACTGACCTGGATTTTACTTTCCTGTAGTACAGGCTCCAGGTGAAGGAGCAGCAGCTTGCATCCCTGGCTCACTCCAGGTGCTAAAGAACATGTTGATCAAAAAGCATTAATGGGTGCAGCAAAAGATTTCTAATTTTGGTGAACTTCAAGTATTGCATTACTGTAAAGAAATAAATACAGTCTGTAAAGAGAGGACTCAAACCTTTGTCTGGTTTGAGAGGAGCATGTTTGACCAGACCCTGTTATGGGTGGGAAATTTTAATTGGAGTGAAAATGGGGGGAGGGAGAGAAGTGAGAAACAACCATGGGAAAGGCATTTGTATCATCTGGAGCCTGAGAACTGCCTCAGCCTCTGAAGCTTCACAAAACTTCACATGAAGTTCTCCCATGTAGTTTGGGGTTCCAATTGCTGAACAGGATAGTCTTTTAATTGTTCCTCAAATGCTTCTCCTTCCCATAGGTTTGGCTTGCCCTTTGTGTTGCACTTGGAAAAAACAATTGCTTGGGATATTCTGCAGAAGGAAATACTGGAGAAGATGCAGTATTTCCTGCGGCCTGCAGCCTGCTTGCAGGTGAGACAAATGTGAGCTGTTGGATGCACAGTTCCACTGCTGCACCTCAGCCCTCTGTCAGCTCATTGGCACAGGCACATTTGAGACCTCGTACATTTGCTCTGTCATGTCAGACGTGTTCTAGGGAAAGGTCTTTGTCAGCCAGTGGCGTGTGGGCAGTTGGGCTGGAGCCACTGAGGTGGCTCTTCCTCTCTGTTGCAGGTTTGCCCGTTCAGCTTGCGAGTGGTCAGTGTTGTGGGCATAACATACTTGCTACCTCAGGAGGAGCGACCCCTCTGCCACCCAACAGTGGAAAGGTGAGCTGCCCTCGGGGGCTGGGTGCTCCCCAGGATGGAGGGAGGTGTGTTAGCTGGGAGCTCGGTGCTGACCGTGCACAAATGAGCAGTCCTGTGTGGATGTGTGGAATGCACTGCAGGGGCCTGAGGAGCAGGGAAATGGGGGAGCATCCTTAGGAAGCTGTGTGAGAATACCTTGGTTGTGTGTCATGCCATCTGGAATCTGTCCTCCCTGGAAATAGAGAACAGAATGAAAATATTACTCTCACTATTTTTAGTTTTTTCTTGTGCCTGTTATCCTTTGAAATGTTGGTAAATGCCTGTTCTGTAACAGGTGTCTGTTGCCTTACAGAACTTGCAGACTCGGGTGAAGGCATTTACCAGCTTTGCCAAGTGTTTTGCTGTGTGAATTCCTTTTACTCCTTTGCAAACCTCAGCTGTGGGAGTGAAGGAAGGGTGAAAGGCTTGTGCAGAGAAATTACATGCATGTAGAAGATAATGTAGACTTTGGACTGAAAGATGGTCTGACTTACTTCTGCTCCTCTCTGCAGGGCATTGAAGTCGTGCGGACAGGGGGGAACCGCTCATGTGAAATTAGTGGTAGAATGGGACAAAGAAACTAAAGATTAGTAAGTATGAAGTAAAAACCCTTAAACTGTGTTCACTCACAGTTGCTGCTTGCAGCTTGCTTGTGTGAACTGTGCATCCTTCAGCAAACATGAGACCACTCAAACTCCACCTGTGCCCAGCCCCTGTCTGCAGGGACAGCCTGGGGAGCCAGGGGATGTGCTGGTAAATGTGGTGTCTCCCTGATGCAGCTTGTTTGTGAATACAGAAGAGGAATATATTCCAGACTCTGAAAGCGTCCGCCAGCAGAGAGAGCTTCATCATCAACCTCAGATCTGCACTTTATCTCAGTGTTTCCAACTGTACACCAAAGAGGAACAGGTAGATACAGACTGTGTACTCTGGCTTGTTCACATGGCGCAGGAACTCCCTCATCCAGGCAGCTCTGTTCTGCAAACATTGATTCCTTGTGACAGGAGAATAGATTTGTAACACAAGATTAGTTATCTGTGCTGCTGACAGAGCTCCTCTGCAGTGAGGAGCTGGTGGGAGGTCCTGCTGCTGGGTTCTTTGCTGCCCAGATGTTGATACACGAACTTAGTCCTCTCTTTGGCAATTTCCTTCTGTGAAATATTGTGAATATTATAAAGGGTTAGGGCAATGTGCTTCATGGGTTCAGTTCTGCAGGAATGTGGCTGTTCCCCTGCTCTGGCTCTGCTTCTGTGGGGCTGAAGAGACAGGAGTGATGGTGTGCCACAGGCAGGCTAGAGAGGGCTCTGGCCTGGCCCTTGCCTGGCACGTGGAAGCCATCTGAATTCCTTTGGTAGTCTCTAATCTACCTTGTCTGAAGGTAGTCTTTGGACCCAGGACTGAGCTGTGATAATTTGGGAGCCTCTCTTGTTGGTTCTTTCAGGGGTGAGGGAGGAGTGGTTTGAGGTTAAATCTCTGTGGCTTCTGAGCTCTCTGAGCACTGGGCTGTGGAGGGAGGCTTGGGGGGCAGGGAGAGTCTTCAGTGTGTTGGGGCTGCAGAGGAAGAGGAGGGTTCCCAGAGGGCAGTGAGGTGTCAGAGGGGCATCCAAAGTACACCTTTCTTCTTTCTGCTCTGATTTTTTTTCTGCTTTTTTATCCCTGCTTTATTTTCTGCTGCTGGTTTTCTTGTGAGAATACTTTTCAGACTGCCAAGCCTGCCTGTTTTTTGCCTTGGTTTTTCCTTTTCCTTATTCTCCACTTCCAAGGCTCTGGCGTTTATAAGGTGCAGAAAGGTCCTCTGCACAGCAGCACTGGCTGAATTCTGCCTTGCAGCAGAAAGTGCCTCCTGAATGAGGCACACAGATCTCTGCTTGTCACTTTGAAAAGCATCATTGGGAACCCTGCATTTCCAGTGAGCCTGATAAATGCTGGAGGGAGATGAGCAGAGGGGTCAGTGTCTGCACTGGGCTTGGGCAGCAGGGAGCAGTGGTGTGGTGCAAGCTGCTGTGGACTTTGGAAACCAACACCCACCCCTGCTCGTTCCTTGTAGCTTGCCCCAGATGATGCATGGCGGTGCCCACACTGTAAGCAGCTGCAGCAGGGCAGCATCACGCTGAGCCTCTGGACCTTACCTGATGTTCTCATCATACATCTCAAAAGGTTCAGGCAGGTAAGGATGCCTGTAGTGTTGCTGGAGGACTGCTGAGTGGTGAGTAGACTCCCCTCTTCAGAAGCAGCCATTCTGCCCTGTGTGTGCCTCACCTGGGTGTTGCCAGGCCTTGGCCTCTGCAGCTCATGCTCTCCTCTGTACACAGGAAGGAGACCGAAGGATGAAACTTCAGAACATGGTTAAATTTCCCTTGAGTGGCTTGGACATGACTCCTCACGTTGTGAAGCGCAGCCAGAGCAGCTGGAGCTTGCCATCACACTGGTCACCTTGGAGGAAACCTTATGGCCTTGGCAGAGATCCTGAGGACTACATCTATGACCTGTATGCTGTCTGCAACCACCACGGCACCATGCAAGGCGGGCATTACACAGGCAAGTGTCCTGCTGTGCTGTGTGTGGTGCAGCCTTTCACAAAGATGCTGGTTCTGTTTCTGTATGGAGTCAGAAAGGGAGTCACTGATGGAAGCAGTGTCACAAGTTACAGAGGGTGAAGTGAATGGAGCCACCCCAAATGATGCTCTGTTCTGAGTGGTAATGGTGGACAAAGCAAGTCCTGAAATGTAAGCTGTTTATTGTGTTCTGGCAGCCTCAGGTTTCCATCTTGCCAGTCAGACTGGAAGATGCAAGAATCCATCTGCTCCTCATGTTGTCAGAGTCCATAGCAGATAAGGTTGTGTTAAATGTCATACAGCAAACCTGAGAGCAGTAGGAGTGCTTCCATCTTGCCAGTCAGACTGGAAGATGATTCAAGAATCCATCTGCTCCTCATGTTGTCAGAGTCCATAGCAGATAAGGTTGTGTTAAATGTCATACAGCAAACCTGAGAGCAGTAGGAGTGAGAGAGTCTTACAGTAATGTATTATTCCTTAGCATATTGCAAGAATTCTGTTGATGGCCAGTGGTACTGCTTCGATGACAGTGAAGTTCAGCAACTTTCTGAAAGTGAGGTCTGCAAGCAGACTGCTTATATCTTGTTCTACCAGCGACGCACAGCCATCCCCTCGTGGTCTGCCAACAGCTCGGTGGCAGGTAAGCCCTGCTGGCCCTGTCCAGGGGTGCCTCTGACTTGTCATTCTTGGGTAGTTTGTCCTTCTGGAGGATTTTCCACCCAGCTCTGCTTAAACCCCCATTCTTGTGTCCCAGAACTCAGCAAGGCTTGTCTGATTCTGTGGCTGTGTGTCAGAGGCCATGGGAACTTTCCAGCTCTTCTGCTAAGGCAGTTTTGGCAGGGAGATGGGGGAGCCCTGTGTCCCCACAGGTCACTGCTCAGAGCTGCCCTTGTGCAGGACATCAAGTTGTGACTCACTCCTTCCCTTTAGCAGCACTGTCAGTCCCCAGGAGGTGCCCACAGTGCATGTGTTGGTGGAATCCAGGCTGAGCTGTGGGCAGGTGCAGGCTTGGTGACCTGCCCCTAGAAAAAAAGAGATTTTAGTGGCCTTGGGGTGGCAGCTGAAATACCACCAGTGCCTGCATGCTGCTATTCGCAGCACAGTTGTAGCCATGAATGCCCACAGGAGTAAAGCCCCGTTCCGTGGCAGTGTGAGGGTGCTGGGGGCGAGGCAGGGCAGAGCAGGGCAGGGCAGAGCAGGGCAGAGCAGAGCAGGGCAGAGCAGGGCAGGGCAGAGCAGGGCAGGGCAGAGCAGGGCAGGGCAGAGCAGGGCAGGGCAGAGCAGGGCAGGGCAGGGCAGGGCAGGGCAGGGCAGGGCAGGGCAGCAGCCCGGCCGGCTGCGCGCTGCTGACGCCGCTCCCCGCAGGCTCCACCAGCTCGTCGCTGTGCGAGCACTGGGTCAGCCGGCTCCCGGGCAGCAAGCAGCCCAGCGTCGCCTCGGCCGCCTCCTCGCGCCGCACCTCGCTCGCCTCGCTCTCCGAGTCCGTGGAGCTGACCGGGGAACGCAGCGAAGATGACGGTCTGTATCTCTCCTAGGGGCCACGCCGGGCTTGTCTTTCTGTGGCAAGGTCCTTACTCACACAGCTGCGGGATCTGGGGTTGCAAGGCACAGTTAGGCCAGGAGCTGAGGGAGGCAAGAGCTGGCTCGGTGGGAGCACAGGTGGGCTTCTCTCTCTCTGGAGGAGAGCAGGCAGGAACCTTAAGGAGCCTTTCAAAGAGAGCAAATGTCATCAACAAAACCTCTCAGTCAGGAACTTCTCGTGCTGGTGTTCTCTCTGGGTCTCACTGCATTACCTTCGCAGGGTGGCTGACACAGTCCTGACAGATTTAGCATAGGCACTAATTACCTGCTGCTGTGCTTGTGGATGGTCCCAGGGAGGGAGGGAGATGAAAATTCACTCATGTATGCAAGTTACTGTTCAGTTCCTGGCTTTGCCTGGTTCCTCCACACATTGTCTTATAACTTCTGAAAATGCAGAGCTTCATGGGTCAGTCAGAGCATTTGGAAGCTGGTGTGGAGATGTCCTTGCAGCAGTGCTGTGACAGCTATCAGGTCTGGCCATGGAAGTCACACTTCTAAAATACTTACAGTTTGCATTTCTAAATACAATTACATCACTTGATCTAGAGGTAGGAATCCTACTTTGCCTTTCACAGAATGCTCTGGGAAATACTCTTTAATACAGAATCATAATCCTAGCTGGTGATCTTGCCAGTTTCAAGGACTTTCGAGGTGCAAACCTTGTGTTTGATCTGCTGCTCAGGGATGAGAGAATAATCTGGGTTATCAGTTAGAGGCTTCAGAAAGCTGCTCCTGGGTGACCCCTAGCAAGTAACAGTTCTTGGATTCTTCATTCAGCTTTTGTACAAGAAGCTGTGCCTGCAGCCTGCATTGGGAGACACACAGTGTGGTGTGGGTGGGCTGCTTGGCTCTCGTGGGGGAATGTGGATGGGTGGGGTAAACCACCTGCAGCCTTGGCTTTCCCACTGAGACGGTCACTTGCTTGCTCTGCAGGAGGATTTTCAACTCGACCATTTGTAAGGAGTGTCCAACGTCAGAGCCTGTCATCCAGATCCTCTGTCACCAGCCCACTGGCAGTGAGTGAAAATGGTGTCAGGCCCTCGTGGTCACTCTCTGCAAAGCTGCAGTTCCGCTCCAACTCCCCATCGCGCTTCTCTGGAGACTCCCCGGTACATACCTCTGCTTCCACTCTGGAGAAGATTGGGGAAGCTGCTGACGATAAAGTTTCCACCTCGTGCTTTGGCAGCCTGAGGAATCTCTCTAGCAGCTACTTGGAGCCCTGTGACAGCAGCCGGCGAGAGCACAGGACAGCTCGCAGAGCCCCTCTGGCTGTCATGGAGGGGGCGTTCAGGGAAGAGTCCGTTGTAAGGACATCTAGCTCAGACCTTTCAGATGGGTATGGGAAAAGCTCTGTGCAGCCAGACAGGAATCACCCTGCTCTGGACCCCTTTGATAACAACAATCAAATCGCCTTTGTTGACCAGAGTGACTCTGTGGACAGCTCCCCAGTGAAGGAGGTGAAAGCCCCAGCTGGGACGGGGCTGGCTGCAGAGAAGGCACATGACACCCCTAAGAAGGGTCACAGCTCCAAAGGAGCTTCTGAGCCAGACAAAAGTTTGAGGAAGGGAAGGACAGTCTTAGCTACCCAAGAGACCAAAGTCTCTCACTCTTCTCCTCCACTGAAGAGTTCTCAGAAAGCTTCCCGGTCCAGAAGTAAGGCAGACTCCTCTAGGGTCAGCGGGCGACACGGGTCTCCTGCTCCCACGCAGGCTAGGAAGGACCACAGCACAAAGCCCCTGGAGGCGTCTGTCCCTTCAGCTCCACAGAAGCAGAAGTCAGGTTCTTCTCCATCCTCCACGGCTGCCAAGAAAACCCCGTCGGGCTCATTGACTAAGGGCTCTTCCTCGGGGAAGAGCCGGACTGGCGAGCGCAGCCTCAGCAGGGAGGGCTCCAAGGTCAGCCTGGGCTCGGATAAGGCGAGCGTTACCAGCGGCTCCAGGACGAGCTCCCCGCGCATCAGCCACTCCAGGAGTGACAGCAGGGCAGTGGACAGCAGGCACGTGCGCAGCTCCTCCATGGCCAACCTGCGCTCCCCCAACGCCGGGGCGCGCTCCGGCCTCAAGAGGGACAGCAAGTCCGAAGAGAAGGGTTTGTCTTTCTTTAAATCAGCCTTAAGGCAGAAGGAGACACGGAGGTCGGCAGACCTGGGGAAGACGACAATGCTTTCAAAAAAGACAGGGAGTGTCAGTTCCAAGTCAGGCAGTAAAAATGTGCTGGAGGACAAACCAGAGAAAGGTGGTGTCCCACCAGCCTCTCAAACCAATGCCAACATGACTACAAAAGAAAAACTTGTCTCAAAAGATGCCACATCTAACAAACATTCTCTGCTATCCAGTCGCAAGTCCAAGTCTTCCCAGCTAGATCCCGGAGTCCAGTCTCCTCCTTCCAGTGGCAAGCAGTCTGCTGACAAGCCGCTGAAAAAAATACCTTCCAGCATGCAGGTGTCTGTACGGCCTTCTCTGGAACCTCAGTGAAATGCTGCAATCCAGGTGTCTTTTCTTCTGCTGAGAAGCTAATTTATTCTGAGCTCTTGTTTTTTGTTCATGTGCCTAATGTATGTTTTGAGGAGAAGTTAACTGCAAGTTGTTAAAGCGCCTTTGATTCTGCCATCAAACCAAATAGCCACAGGCAGCCAGCACTGGTGCGAGTAGCCTAGCTGGAGTCGTTGTTGAACATGAATGCAGCTGTCCCATAGCACTTGTACAGGAGTCTCTGTTGAAAGTGCAACAACTTTCTTCAGATATGAGGGCTGGGACCTGACCCCCAGTTGTACTGACACTGGTGTGCTTTGTAGAGCTGTGAACTGATATTCCTTTGGTCTTGTTCTGAGTGGGCTGTGTCCACACTGGTGTATGGCCTTGTTCTGAGCTGTGGAGGATGCGAAGGAAACTGGAGAGACTGTCGCTTCTTTCTGCTCTCAACTCCCTGTCGCTGCTCCCCTCCATTTCCAAGCTTTCTAAAGGGCAATATTTCAACACTAATGTTGTTTCTCAGGTATATACTCAGCCGGTATAGGAGGGACTAGCATTAGTGATGGACAGAAAGGTACCTGTGTGTCTCTGTGCCCGTCTGTGTAATAGATTTCCTTTTTGCATTCCAACAGCAGGAAGTTTGAAATGTAACCTGCAGTTTTGTTGCTGTGTCTGTGAAGAGTTTTGCTTTGTCCATACTAAGGCAACCTCCAGCCTGTCCTGTTTCACTACTTTCTTCTGAAATGCTCTGCTAAACAACAGAAGAAATCCCTGGGCAGCAGCTGCTGGCCAGCTTGTCCTGTGGAAGCAGTGCCATGGGAGAGTTACATCCACACTCCTGGGTGGCCGTGATGCTGTCGGGATGCCCCTGTTCAAACTCCTGGGAAGCATTTCCTAATGTGCTCAGACCCTTATCCTAGTGGTGTAATTAAGCCTCCAGTATCTCTAGGGGTGTTGTTTAGATCAAGGGTCATCCTGCCCTCCCTGAGCATGCTTTGACAGGCCCCTTTGTGTGGGTTGGAGGGGCAGTTTTCCTGTTCCCAGAGTGCTGTACATTCTTCCCTCTGGCATGCTCGTCCCCTCCCCTGGGTCTGGCTGCCACGTGTCCCTCAGTGGAAGGTTCCCCTTCCTTTGGATGTTTGGATGACAGCCTCCATCAGGGTCAAAACACTACATCTACTGATGTCTTTGTTTACATGCCCTTCTTACAGGGGAGATTCCTCAAGTTCTGGAAGGTTCCTCTTAAGGTGGATTTCTTAAGTCCTTTTACATATATGTGGTGTAATTATTTTTTTTTAATTCCATGAGTTTTTGTGGATGTGCTGCCTATCCTTTATGTCCACAGCCTGTTGTGTAGGTTGTGACAGGCTGGGCAATGTGCTGGGCACGCTCTGCTGAGTGAGGTCTGTGCCTGTCCAGTCCAGTGGCAGAGCTTGGGGCCAGGGACATGTGCTCTGTCCCATCAGCATAACAAACTGCCTCTGCCACCCCCCTTGCTGAGGTCCTGCTTGCCCTGCAGGCAGCCTTGTCCCCAGGACACCTTGCTGCTGAGTTTTCTGCTCACCACACACCTGCAGCAAGGGAGGGAAGGGCTGGGGGTAGCTGGCTCCTGGTGTGTGTGGGGCTCAGCTGGGAGTGCGCTGAGCTGGGGTCAGTGTGGGGATGAGCCCACCTGCCCTGCAGGTGCATGCCCACCTGCCTGCAGCCCTTGCAGTGCCCTGCTGCATCCCCTTCTCCAGCAGTGCCACAGCCTGCAGGTGTAATGCCCTGATGTTCCCCCCAGACATGAGTGTCCCCTCAGTGCATTCCTTCGCCCAGGCATTGTTTCAGTCTCATTTATTGCAGCAACAAGAAGCAAAGATTGCATTGCTTGCTTCTAAAATGTATGACTTGGATTATTCTTGGATTATTTTCTGCTATATCCAGCAGAGCAGATAAGACTTGCTTCACATTGCAGTACTTAAATTACTCCCTGAAATGTTGATATTGAAGTATTTGTTTGAGGTTTTATCTGTATTAAGGTCTTACACTGTCTTGGCTCTTCTCTTGTAACAACTCTTCTAGCAAGAATGTAATTCTGGTGGCTTACGCTGACTCGGTTTGGGATCTTTTAATAGACAGAACTACTTTCTGTGCATTTTGCCATGGACATTTGTGAAAGGTTATTTTTATCAAATGACTTTTTTTTTCATGTCACTGTTCACTGAAGGAGTTTAAACTGGAAGCTAGCGTGTGGGTTTTGAGGTGGTTTTGCTCCTGTGCTGCATGCCTGACTGAAGGGAATTGGAAGCCATGTCCAAACCCACGTTTTAGCTGAACACCAGTTCAGTGTTTGTAGCTGTAGCAAGACAATGGTCCTTGGAGCTCTCATTTGGGTAGGAGGGAGATGGAGGTCCTGGTATTCCAGCAGCTGATAAAAGTAATTGAACCTCTGCAATCCCATGAGATGCCAGTCTCACTCTCTCTCTGCACATTCTCCATAATCCCTGATGCTAGTTGCTGCCAGCTCCAGCACTATCTGCTCTCTTCACGCAGCCAGACTGGGTTTCTGTCCCTCTGGAAGCCGTGCACTCCTCTGTGCACGGGCTCCTTGCCCTGCAGAGGAGTGTGCCTGGGCAGGAGGGGCTGCCCTGACATCCCCTCCTCTCTGAGCAGGTGGGGTGCTGCTCCTCCCTGGTGGGGTTTCTGCTCTGGAGGGCTTGGCTTGGGGTGTCCTCAGGCAAGGTGGTTTGGCTTAGCAGGGCACACCAGAGATCCTGTGGGAGGTGAGACACGCTGGGCTGGGCGTGGGAGCGTGTGTGAGCCTGTGGGGAGTGCAGCCCTGCTCGTGTCTGTGTCTGTACCAGGCCCTGGGAGCAGCCACCCCTGTCACTGCACACTGCTCCTCAGTGTCACACACCTTCAGCGGTGAACAGCTTCCTTGCACAGGGGAGGGCTGGAGGGTGTGGGTCTGGGAAACACCGTTCACTGGGAGTGTAAATCAAAGCCTTGTTGCTGTTACAGTCGTGTCTCCATCAGTGAAGTAGGGTAAATGTTTCTGAAAAGGAATGCAGGTTATTACAGGCCCTGCTTAAAGGGATTTGTGGAAAAATCATCAGTCTTCTCTCCTTGCTTTAAAGCAGACTTCTCTCTTGTCCCTTTCATGTGTAGGAACTCCTGTCCATGGTATTGTGTTGTCCAGCTGCCAGGATGTGGCACGGTACCAGGGAGCACTCGGGAGAGGGATCTGCCAAGTCCTAGATGCCAACACCTCCGTGGCTTTGCATATGGATCCTTCAAGCAGCAATGGCTTGAGGCTGTTCTGGAGCAGCTGCATTTACATGGTCATGTCTTAAAGTTCCTGTTGGCCATCAGAAGCACCATGGCTGTGGGGGAGGTGGGCTCTGCCATCTCCCAGAGGCTGCTGCTGCCCAGGGACCTCTGCCTCCCCTGGCTGGGGGCACGTAGGGCCTGGAAGTCTCATGGGCATCTGAGTGTGATGGGAACGTGTGCTGCCAGCTCTGTCCTGCCCTGCCTGTCTGGGGATGGCAGGGTCTGGGACCTTCTGCCGAGGTTTTGGAAGCAAAGGTATGCCTCATGGTGGTGGGAAATGCCTGGGAAGGGGGAGGCCCAGCAGTGTCCCTGCTCCCAGACAGGTGAGCTCCGGGGCAGAGCAGGGGTTCAGGCAGTGTGTTTCCAGTTGGCTTTGGGTTGGAGTTGCCTGTGCCAACGTGTGGCTTGCATTTCACCCCACGTCCCTAGTCTGCCACTTGCTCCTGCTCCTGGAATTGGCCCCCCGGGCGCAGGAGAGCAGCGCCTTCATTCCAGTGCTCAATTCCTACAGGAGTCACCTAGAGACTTTTTTTTACCCTTTTTGGGCTGTGTCTTTTGGACAGTGTTTAGTAGTATTCAAGTTATAAGCACATTTTCGATGACGTGTATTGAAGAGGCACCTTTTATTTGTATTAATCACATTTGATAGACAATTTGGTGCCTGCAGTTCTCTGTAACTTGTGTCTCACTTTGGGTGTGTAAATTGTTAACCCTTTCACACTTATCAAATACGAATTAATGAAAACAAGATGCTTAGGATAGAAAGCTAGCAGCTTAATTGCACTTCTCCCACTGCAAGTGCCCTCATCCGCCGTCGCTGCAGGGGTTTTGCTTTCTGAAGCTGAAACTTGAGCATGCCCAACACTCCTCGGTGCGAGGCAGCCTGCATGGCCGTGCTGTCCCCTGCATGTCCCTACTAACTATGCAAGCCTCTAGCCCAGCGTGGCTCTGCTGGCACACAGGAGCATGTCCCTGGGTCCTGCTTCCTTTGCACATCTCTGGCTCTTTCCTTTGCAGGATTCTGCGTTACTGACAAGGCTGGAGCGTAACGTAAGGTTAGAGGGATTGGAGCAGGGAGATGAGAACAAGCTGATTTCTGTTTTGTGTTGTTTTTCCTTTTGTTAGCAGGGCGACCTGCTCAGGGTTCTGTGTGTAGCCTGCCTTTGTTTGCATGCAGTGAGGGGCACGCAGGTGCTGTGAGTGTCCTTGGGAGGGGAGGTTCCCTGCTGCCCACGCTGCCCACGCTGCCCCTGGGGCGACTCCCCTGTCTGGGGGAGCCCTGGGCTCATGGCTGTGCTGTGGGGTTGGGGTTTGAGCCGTGTCCTGTGTGCTGCATGGCCCCAGGACTCCTCCTGGCTCTTGGCCCTGCAGCTTGGTGCCCTCCCCTTGGTCAGCTGGCATGGCGAGTGTGTGGAAACAACATTCCAAATAATTTCACTGTTGGGTGTTGTTTTGGTTTTTTTTATTTTTTAATTTTAGTTTGGTTTGGTTTTTTTAAAATCTTTGTCATTTGCCTACTAATCCAAAAGAATTTGGCAGTATCTAATGATACCTGTGGAGGGAACTGAAATTTAGTTTTAATCTGTGGTGAGATGAAAGTCCTACATGGTTTTCTCAACAAAAGCATTGTAAAGCAGTTACTGTTAAGAGCTTTATTTTGTAAAAGAAAAGCACCTGAAGACTTGTACAATGTTTGTGTTAGATCTAAAGGCTTAGGGACTCTTATATTTTAAAAGGTGATAGCACTCAATTTATTGCAAATAGTGTTTTTTAAAAGACACAGATTAAAACTAAGTGTAACCACCAGTCCTGGCTCACTCAGCCCTGCAGTGCACACGTGCTGGCCTCAGGCTCGTGTGCCATTTGTGAGTGCAATAACCCCTCTGGAGGTGCTACACTGCCTTGGGTAGGGTAACACAAGGGAATCCAGGCCACCAGTGGCTCTGCTATTGTCCTGTGGCCTTCCAAGTATGAATTTGTACAGATTTGCTCACCACCTGTGCCTCACCATTGGTTAAAATTGAATTTTAAGTCCTGTTGCAAATGCAATTTCTCTTCTGGACACAATGTCAGATTTTACACTGGAATATCTACAGTTCTCAAACTGCATGTCACATCACTGTACCTGGTACAGGGACGTGGGGCTTTCCCACACCTTTGATATTCTCCTCTGTATTTTAATGTTTTTGACCTGTACAGTAATTGGAAAGCAGGCTGTCTACTTGGGGTTGAACATTGTACCATAAATTTTAAATTATTTGAGTACAACTGCATGAGACTGTGTCAATGCCTTTTATTATTTATTTGTATGTTTTATTATTCGAGGTGTATGCACTTTTAATATGCAGAATTTATATTTTTATGTTAAAAATCATTTTCTTTCAGAAAGAAGAGTTTGAATATGAGGAATTGGAATTAAGTGCAAAAAGGGGAATATGTAATAAAATACAATAAATTTATTACTAGGCATCCTGCCTGAGTGAGCGTTTTTCCAGGCTGCAGCCTTCAGCCTGCCCAGGGTGGGGTTTGGGAGCTCCCTGTGTGGGAAGGCAGGGGCAGAGGCTGGCTGGGCACAGCCTGGGTGCTGGGAGGGCAGGCAGGGCTGCGTGCCCTGTGCTGCCCTGGCGCTTCTCTCTCCACAGCCCCTCCTGCAGGTGCTGAGTGCTCGGCCCCCGCGGGGCGTGGGACCTGCACTGGTGAGTTTGTGCCTGAGCCCAGGCAGGGCGAGCTGGGTTCCTCTGGCTCACAGCAGGCTCACAACCCTGCCCAGCCCTCCGTGCCTCACCTCGGGGTCAGTCTTGTCTGGGCAGAGACCCCATGTGTGAGGACAGGAGGCTTGACTCCATTTTCATCAGAAGGCTGATTTATTGTGCTATATATTATATTAAAATACTACATTAAAACTATACTAAAAGAACAGAGAGAGAAGAAGGATCAGAAGGCTACCAAGACCTAGAATAGAATAGAATAGAATAGAATAGAATAGAATAGAATAGAATAGAATAGAATAGAATAGAATAGAATAGAATAGAATAGAATAGAATAGAATAGAATAGAATAGAATGCATAACAAAATCCTGTGACTGCTCACAGCCTGGGCACAGGTGGCTGTGGTTGGTCACTAATTGAACACAATCCACATGGACCAATGGAAGATGCACCTGTTGCATTCCACAGCAGCACACAGTTATTGTTTGCATTTCTTTCCTGAGGCTCTCAGCTCCTCAGGATGGGAAAAATCCTAGCAGAGGATTTCTCACTAAAATATCATGGCTACAGGTCAGCCCCCACGTGAAGGGGCTTCTCAGTGCCTCAGCAGTCCCCTGCCACCCCCAGCCCTGCCCTTGCCCCTGCCACCCCCGGCAGTGAGGCCAGGCTCCCGACAGGAGGGACACGTGGGCCCAGGTCTCCTGTGGCATCGGGCCAGGAGAGCCCCAGCCAGACCCCCACACGTCCAGAGACCCTCGGGCCACCCCTGCCCACAGCAGGGACAAAGGTCCTGAGGGCAGGGTGGCCTCAGGGGCTTCTGCCATCACCAGGCACTCGAGGCTCCTCCAGCTCTGTCCTAATTGCAGACTCCTTTTCCTTTAGCAGGGTGTGCAGTGCTGGCTCCAGACGTGGAGGAGAGTGTGGATGGGCTGCTCCTGCTGCAGCCCCGCGAGGATGAGGATGGAGCAAGGCAGGAGGAGGAGGACAGGCCGCCTCTCCCGGGTGCTGAATGGAAAACCTCTGTCCTTGGCGTTTGCAGTGAGCCCCTGGGCTGGGAGAGCTGCTCAGTCTCAGGGCAAAGGGGGCACAGGAGGCTTTGGCCACCCAGGGTCTCCTCTGGCAGAAGGATGGAAGATGACGTGCCCCCGTGCCTGCAGCCCTTTCTGTGTGCACTGAGATCCTCCTGCTCCAGTGAGCCCTCGGATCAGTGCGTCGGGGCTGGCTTGGGCTTCACAAACTCACCTTTCAACACAGCTTTTCATTCTCAAGGGTTCTTTGTCTCTCCTCTGTGTGTATTTTTGCAGGAGGGGACTGTTGCACGGGTGAGCAGCATTATCACCCCATGCCCTTCAGTGCTCACCAGAGGGGAGGTTCAGTGAACCCCCCTGGTTCCCCAAATCCCCAGATGGGCTGTCCTGGTCTCCCTTGCCTGGTGGTGGTTACAGACATGGTGATGTTGGTGTGTTTATCCACAGCTGTGCTGCATCACCCTTGCCCACATGGTCCCGGGGCCTTGGGGGATGCATGGCCCCTGCCATGGAGCCTTGGTCTCTGTTTCCATCCATCCTGCTGGGAGAGCTGGGCTGGAGCTGAGCCCTGGGCTCAGGAGCTGCCCTGGCAGTCCCACCCCTGCCGTGCACCAGAGGCTCTGCTTCACAGCTTGTGTGGAAATGGGGATGGCAGCTGTCATATTAAATCACGGGGTCATCACTTATTTATAGGTGATTACATTAAAGAGAGATTAATACAGCCAAAGGCTTCGCAGAATTAGAGTTAATGTACTTGTGTTTATTATATTTGCCAACATTTCTCCAATCCAGCTGGGTTTTTCTGGCTGCAGGATTTAACAGAGAGCCCACTGCCATCCTCCAGCCTGGGAGGGGGGTGTGAGGTCCATGGAGAACCCTTGAGAGCTTTGATCTTGGAGTGATCAGTTCTGCTGCCTCCCACTTTGAGGGTCTTTGGGCAGCACCTGGGGCACGGGGAGGGCAGGCAGGACTTAGCAATGCTTACAGGGGGGTTGGGGCTCCCAGATGTCACTCCCAGGCTGGGATTATGCTGTGTTTAACTGGGATTAGACTCCTGCAGAGCTGGGCACAGGTTCCTGACACCCTGGGCAGGGGCTGTGTCCCTGAGGGGCACGGGTAGGGAAGTGCCAGGCGTTCTCTTGGTCCTGTGCCCCCAGAGCCTGGTCAGTTCTCACCTGTCCCGTGGGCTGTAGGGTGGCTGCTGCCAGCTCAGGGGGCACCAGCAGAGCTGCCCTGCTGCTGG